TGAGAGCAATTTGTTATGTTTTTACTGATAAGTCCCTGAGAGTGAAACCGATAAGTCATAACCAAAGTCCAATATCCATGCTCAAAACAAATTATACACTACTGTCAATACAGTACTTCATTTATTAGTGCTAAATAGTTACTAAGTGTTATACTACTTTGAAAAATTTATTTCGACGTTCCGACTAAACTATAGTCATCATCAGGAAATGAATAATATATTATATATTGAAATCCTTGCTACATCAAGCTGAATTCACTTTTATACAAGACACTTTCGTCGACAGAGGCTTTTTTAATGTATAGTTATTTAATAAAAAATATTGTGAACCGCTTATTTTTTATTAATTTAAATAACTGTACATTTTAATTTAATACAAAAAGTCTCTTGCGCCTCTGCAAGTCAGCGAGTGTATATCAAACTTGGGAAGTTCAAACCACTTGACACTGTCTGAAGTTGCAGGGTTTGCACAATAAATTAATGTTGAATCATTAAACTATTATACTTATCACAACAGTGACAATGCTGTTCCTCTATTACGATCAAACAATACTTATATTAGACACGACAAAAAGTGTTGTGCATATATTCTATTAATGAGTCAATCTATACCTTAAATCTTTGAACGCAAATTATTATAATGCCAAATAGCTAGGTATGTTAGGCATGCCGATGTTTACTTGACCGAGGAGTTTGGCTGCTTGAGAAGATTGAGAACCTAGTTTTTAGTGCGCAAGGGCCTAGAAACAACCTAGTTTTTAGTGCGCAGGGCCTAGAAACAACCTAGTTTTTAGTGCGCAAGAGACTGAGAACCTAGAGTCATTAAAACTAGGTTGTTTCCAGTTTTCTCGCATAACAAAATAGGCAATGACGTCTTGTCACGGTTGGAAGCCAATGCGTTGACAATCGTACTAAGATTACAATGAAACATGATCTGACTATCTTAAGCCTTTTAGATCAGCCATCAGGGTATAAATATAAGACATATATGTGGTTGTGAAGGCAATGCATAAGCTGCTTATAAACTATTTAAAAATTCTAAAATATATAAATTATTACGATAGATTTCAATGTACAGGGTGTATCAAAAAAAGTAAGACAATTTTGAAATTGCTCTCAATTCCACAATTCTGTTCATGAAATGTAATTTTTTATATGTATGGATTGCTTGAGTTCTTAAATTATGGAAAATATAAAAAAAATTGAAAATAGTAAATTTTGCTATCCAGTGGGGTGGTCAACTTTTGCTCTCCTAAAAGTGGCTTGCGCACGGAAATGACAAACGGTATTCTTTATTTGAGGTCATGTATGAAAAGGTCGCTATTTGTTGCATTTATGATAAAATTTCGGCAGGATTTTACCGAGTACAAATCCTTCAAAAAGCCTATGAAAACGTTACATTTTTCTCTGTTGGTGCTGTTCTTGCTTCATTATCAATTCATTTTTACTCCCATGAGAGTTCCGTGGAATTTCCATGGAATTTGTGCTTTCGAGTTGTTTGTGCTGAAACGCATTCTCTCGTATAATACCCCGTACACTTTGCAATGGCGATGCCACAATTTACCCCGCAGCAGAGAGCTTTTATGCAGAGAGCTTTTAAAGTAGTTGTCATGGTAACACGATAATTTTTACAAATGAAAAATGTCAAAAATACCCTAAAAATATCCCTTTAATTACAAAATTAACAATTACCCAAACATATATATGTTAGGTATGTTATTATACATAATATAAGCTTCAATTTAAGGTAAAATTCAACCTCAAATGCTTCGCAAAATGATTTAAACTAAACTGCTGTTATCGATAAACTTTGAGTTTGAAGTTACAAAATTATTTCAAATTCTCACATTCAAACAACTTTGCTTTCTTTTTTATTTAAAAATTTTAATATAATAAAAAGGGCAATCAATAAAGAAACACTAAAATTATATGCGGTCTTTTTCATTTAAAATATACGTAATGATCAGCTTTTAAAGCTATTATATAGTGAACAATATATCAATATTTAAAACAAGCCTTGATGAATTTACTCCTTTTATAGCAATTCTTTCTTCTTTATTTTCTTAGAAAGCTTTTGAAATTCACAAAATCTTGCAAAAATGAAATATATTTGCAAGAAATCATTGAATCAAGAAATTTTTGCTTTTTCGCTGTTGTCATGCAGTTGTTATAATGCAAATTTTAAATTTGACCAATCAGTGTTCGCTATTGGGGGGGGCAAGGGTATTTTCGTGACTCGTGATTAGCCATTATTCGTGCTTCGTGATTTAACTCATTCTCATCCGGTCGAAAAGTACCAATTTCGAGTGGTGTTGTTTCAAACGCTTATATCTCTCAAATTATACATCGCACGGAAACAGAAATTGCATTGTTCGAAAGAGGAGGACTTCCGCTTTCCAACAATACCAATTTCAATTTCATCCGGAGCTTGGTTAACGATTTACTCGCATAAATTTGCATAAATTATGATATAAAAAATGTTGCAATTATGCATAAATGTATTTAGCGGTTCAAATTTCAAATATGTCAAAAAAATTTATGAATATGACTGAAAGACACGGTTATGATCTACAAGTACCCGAAGTTTCATGCATGTAGCATAAATAGAAATATTTTTATTGAATTTTTATATAAACTAGTGGAGTAAAATTTACATTTTGTGCTTACATGAAACAAATACCTTTATCAAAGGTCCTTTTTTATTGCTGCAACATGTTATCAATACAATTTCCAATATTTCTTACTCTCCAAAGATAGTATGGCACCAAAATAAGTCTGTGATACCCACAAAGAACACTCAAATCATGATTAGCAAAATGTCTTTATTTCTACAATTACTACATACATTCTTAGATAATCATTACACCATTGACTTTAGTTATTAGTGTCATAACCAGCCTCAAAATTTGGTCATGCTATTCAAATTTGAAATAATCACTACTCATTTGTTTAGAAATTGATTGTTTTCACAATCTAGAACATGAAAATATTTGCAAATAGCATGACCAAGTGTTGTAATGGACTGGCATCATCATAATTAGTAGTTATAAAAAAGTAATGTTTTCCAAGGCAGTAATGTTTGCTAAAGCAGTAATGTTTGCCAAAGCACATAATTGGATTATGTGGTGAAAATATTTCCTTTATATTGTACTACAAAAGACCTAAGACTGTAACCAAACTGATATCAGATCACCACGTCATACCCAAATCTGTTGCGATGAATATCTGGACTTCTTCCTGTATAAATTTCAAAGTCGCAATATAACCATTAGGATTGTCTGCAGCAACCCACAGATTTATTCCCCACATAGTAGGTCATCTAGCTTTCATGAACTGCCTAACCCCAACCTATTTCTTGATTTGACAGTGTGTTTGTCTGCAACAACAATATTCTGTGATGGCTGGTACAGTTGTTGATGCAGTTTATTGCTGTAGTCTTTAGTACAGGATCTGCCATAAGCGCTTTGTACCTAACCCAAGAAATTATGTATATTGCCCACAGACCATGATATAAGGTTTTTACACTCCAATAATTTTCAATCTCACTGTCGACCTTTAGCAAACCTGCATATTATACTAAGACCCTTCTTTATTAGTATATGGGGATAACTTTTGAGTTATTTGTATGTGGGCATATGTATTGGTATGGCCAGGAAACTACCTCCTGAAGCATTCCCTTAGTAAAAAAGAGTTGAATGAACTCAAGCTCACAGTTGATCGAAATGGATCCCGGACATGTCAGTGAGGAGCAGATTGGTAGCGTCTGGGTCAATCATCATATCCGTCATGTACTATGGGGCCTAGTGGGGATGCTAGACAGGGAGCTTTCGAAACCTTAGGTCCTAATGGCTGGGCTTCCCTCTACCTCTACTCATCCCCCTACCTTTCCTCTGGGTTGGTGAGTGGGGTTCTCATGACTCATCAGAACTCTACTTCCCTGAGGCTATGAAACAGGAACAGCAGATAGGAACAGGATCAATATATTCATCAGTGCAAATAAAAACTTTTATAGACATGGTGCCACTTAAAATTATAATAAGAGCCAACTAGTAAGATATAAGTATGAATACTTGGCTATTATGTATGTAACAAACAACCAAACGTGTGCTCAAGGCTCATTTTACTTCGCTAGGAATCAGAGATTTTTATGCCTAAAACACCATAAATTTTCGTCAACAATATAAATAAATACCATTTATATTTGTCAATTTCAGTATGAAACGATTATTTCAACACAAAACAGCGATATGAGGACATACTTGGTCGTACTAGTGAAGCTATACTAAATACAAATAAATTTACAACGCCATGGCAACGGCAAAACATTGAAATAGAAATTGTCTAGAAATGATACAAATACTTGCTTTGAAACTCCAGACACGACTCCCAATACCAGGTCGAGATACTTGTCTTCATACGAAGACATTCCATCATTACTAGCACTATCAGTTTGCAAAATAAAGCCAAAAACGTCTTCAGAATGCGATTCAAACAAAACTACAACACAATACATTTCAACGCTCGTGCGTTCCCGTACGCGATAATCAAGAAAATTGCTCTAAAAGAACCATTTCCGAAATATGTTCTTTGACACCGACACCCTCCCCCCGCCTTGGTCAAAGTGGTTGAGCCTTAGTGAATGTGGTGGACTTACACATTGGTCAAATGTAGCAAAACTTTTACCACTTGTGCGGGCTCGTATTATCAGCAGACATCTTACAGAAAGTGGCCAGTTCTTTGAAAAATGCAAAAGTTTCAATTTTTCACTGCAGGTCCACTGAAAATGCGAGCCTGCGGTACTGGGAGAAACTTTGCTGAATATGACCAGCATGTTATCACGGGGGCTTTATATTCGGGGGCCTGTATTCAAAGGTTTATGCTAGTCTGCTGTTGGTCCAATTCGGAAATGGTCTATGTATTTACATAGTTGTGGCTAGGCGACCAATGAGAAGTGCACACAGAACACATGAAATGGGACAATAATGCATTGATACTGTATTCTATTTACAAACCTGTTGTGGATCAAATAGGAAGGGGTACTTGTCGTTAATCTCTTGGAGTGTAGGAGAAGTTTTATTTATATATCTTCTAGAGGCATAGGTTCGGGTCATTTTGTCATAGACTAACGTCATGTTTGGCTCTCTTTTCTTATATTCTACCTTTCTGTTGCTGCTGTACGTTAGTGGTAACCATGTTAATGAAACCCAGTGGGCTTGCCATTCTGCAGACACACTGTTCAACATCGACTGGATAGCTGATCTCCTTACCCTTTCGATTAAGATTAACAAAGCTGTCATAGTACAAACTTCATCAATGCAGGATTTGATGTTGGATAGTGTTATCCAGTGATTTCCACGGACATTAATGATCTGGACAAAATGGTCGCGGTTTTCTTTGGTAAATCCATACTTAACAGCAGGAATCACATCCTGTAAGCCACCAAGCTCGGCCGTGCATGGGTGGAGTCGCAATATTTTGAACACCGCCATAATAATACGATCGTTTACCCAATGCCCCTTTTCCAAAATTCACTTGTCAGATAACTTTAAACATAGTTCTTTAATCCAGAAGTCTTCTTCTTCTACAGATTGTGATTAATTTTTTCCTGATCATTTACCGGAACATGTAACGCCAGGATCACTTGGTTTATCAGGAGGACGGCTAGAGAATACAATGGGTTCACTCTCCTCGGGGCAGTCAATTAAATGGACAGGATAGCTAGTTTTAATAAATGGCGGTGGTTGCTTTATCTCTGTGCTTTCCTTAGTGTCGGAAGCTTCGGCCTTTGATTGGACGGCATCTGACGTGTCGGATTCCTGGGTGGAATTAGCTGACGTCATCGTATTCGTTGTTGTCGGTGCCATCACTGATATCTTCTTTGTTTTGTCCAGTACAGCGCGTCCAAATTGACCTTCAGTTGCAGTAAAGGAGGATAACTGTTCGATTTCATGAATGTTTCTTTCGTTGATGCGTTCATTCAACGTATCAATATTTGATTGGAACAGGAATATGTGATTTACAGGCATCATGGAGTTTAAGAAACGGTTATCTCTGTTAAATATGTTGTATAGCTGCTCCTGGTGCTGCGTGTTGATCAGGCCATTCAACTGCCTAATGTGTGTTACTCTCTGCAATATTTTCCGTTCTTTTTGAGGGTTGCTTTCGTGAAACCTGTCGAACAAGCAGAAGTGGTCGTTTGAACCTGTGATAGGATGACCAGTAGGTTGTTGGTTTCCTGTTTCATGCGTGATGTCCACCCACCAAAACATCCCCACAGTTTATTGAACGCTTTCGTGAATTTCTCTTCGTCATTCTGAACTGCGTTTTTAATGTTCATTATTATGTCCAGCTTACTAACCTTTCCAGCCAACCCGAGTTTCTTGGCGAGGGACTGTGTGTCTTTAAGCATGGACTGGTGAAGTAACTCAAGCAGTCGTTCTTCAGTTATCTCCCGACAATCTTCTTCGATTTTTGCATTTTCTATCTTGACTTTCCAATGCTCAGTGTTGTAAAGATCTTTACCTCTTCTTGTGATGCTGCCAATGAAGGGTGCCCCAGTTGAGCAAGTTTGGTTGTACAACGAATTCCCGCATGTTGGCACCAGGGAACCCGTGAACAATCATTGATAATTCAACATTCGCCCAGAAGTTTTCACAATCTACAACATCGTTTTCATCACTATTTTGCTTGTAGTTTTCTGGGAGGCGCAATGACTCAGCAGGGCACTGAAATGAAACTTTGTGGTTTAGATCCATGGTAATGATGCTAGGATGATGACCACAAATAGAACAAATGAATCTGTATTCATGACAACTTAAGGCATCGAAATGAAGAAAAGTGTGTTGAAGATCGTTCGACCATTTGGCTTCGTTTTTAGACTTCGTTCCAAACGTTCAGTCGCACTACCAATGGGGATGTGACATTGAAGACTGTCTCTTAAATGGATACACACGTCCAATCCAATGAGAAATGTATCATTATAATTATGCACACCTTCGGTGTATTCTTGATAGCGGAAACACATGCCACAAGATTCACATTTAGAGAAATAAGTTTCTACGTTTGTTGTAATAGAATCCATCGTTACCACAGTGGCCTTTGTAGTAATTCGTATAGGCTTGCTTAGACGAATATTACAAAACAGCCATTCCTTTTCCACGGGTGTGTATCTCCGAGGAATGGCTTTTGACTTATCTTGATTAGCCGACAGGGGGAATTTCGTATGATCTTTTAGGTATTTGCACATGTTTGCAACAGTATCTTTGTCGGCGGGAGGATAAAAAAGTTTACTTTGCTCACAAATTTGGTCTACATCCGACAGTTGTTCTTGCTTTGGAACTCCTAACTCATCATCATCGTCTTCAACAACACCACGGAACTGCTCCAACTTGTCAATACCATGCAAATACCACAAACAGATAGCCTTATGTGTGCAACCACGTTTATGATGACAACATCCACAATCCAGATACCCATTCTTTAGATTGCAGGTTACAATAACCCTTCCCAATTTAGAATAGTAGTGAATGGCACCATCATATACAGAAAAGTGGATATATCTTTCACCATCTTCAAAACTTACAATTAACACTGCATTATTTGACGATGCCGCTTTGGATAGTGATATGCATTGCTTAATTCGTTCTTGTTTTAAAATGTTGAATGTTCCTTCCTGCGAAAGGCCGTTAAGGTCACTTTCCTGAAGATGAACCTCTTCCTTATATGTTGTATTCACACCTACTTCCCTAATGTGCTGACACTCGACAGCATTCATTCCACTTCTACATGCAACCTCCATATAAACTCTGCAACTATAGTTTTCACAAAATTGAGTTTGTTTACCGTTCACATCACTTAGAGGCCGAACACATTTCTGAACGTGAACTGGATAAGCTACGCCTCCCTTGCGAACCATATATAACCCCTTCATCTCATCAACACAAACATTAGTTGGAACTATTTCTTTGTGAATGTCCCTTTGATGCCTCAGTAGACTTCGGACATCCATTACCTTTTTGCATATTGGACACTCTTTCCTTTCTGATTTTTGCCTCTTGGGTTTTGGCTCGTTGACTGGCTCTGTATCAAACGTGGTATCTTTCTCTTCCAAAAGCTTTGGGCTTATGGGCGTCATTTCCACGTCACTTATTTCGGGTTTGAAATGACTTTCAAGGTGTTTGGCAAATCTGTTGCGATTTGTTACTCTCTTTTGACATTTTGGACAGTGGTAGTGAGCTCGTCCACAACCATTTTCGTCATGAGACAGTTTGCAGGGAAAACACGACTGGTCATCTATGCTACTTGTTTGTTTGATAAAAAGTATAACTATATATTTTAATTAATAAACTTGACAAACCTCTTTCTCAGTTGATTCCAATGGAAATCGCCCGTTTGAGGTATAAAACTTGGCCAGAAGTTGGAGTAGGTTTTCCTGTTTAATTCAATATTATTATTAAATTAAGATGCACATCTGGATATTGACATGTTCACTCTTTGTTTGTTGGGTTTTAAAATTTTATAATCTGTAACTTGTATAAATTGTATTATTAATAAGAAATGGGCTAATGTGTTATGTACCATGTGACAGCATTTTCCAATATCTAGCTGGTCTGCTTCAAACCCTTTTTTTAATTTTTTTTGACCCAACAAACGATCTCATCTTGGACTTCGCTCATGGCAGAGAGTGTCTGTTTCATTGCAGCCACATCGGACTGCAATTTTGCAATGTGAGTACCAGTATCGACAGTATGAGTATGATGAGTATTGACCATAGCAGCAGCTACGGGTCTCTCTGTATTTTCTACAAAAGATAAAAAGATAAAACATTCGTCAGTATTACATGTAAATTTATAAATTCAACAAGGTTAAATAACAGTATAAGAAGAACAAATATAGTTTATTAAAACAAAAGGACTGTCAAAATATGGCGACAAACAACAAACAAGAATTGAACCGGAAATTAAATTAAATTAAGTGGGGGGGTGACAGGATGTGTGAAGCAAAAAAGACCGGAATTTATTCAAGTCTAATTAAATTTTAATAAAAATAAAATAAAAACATTGAAAATGAAGATTTAAAGTAGTTTTAATGTGAATAGAGACCTCTTTGAAAAGCATTGGACGCGCTGGGTCGAGTCACAGTGGGTCGAGCTTGCTGTTCGCGAGACAACCCTATAAGAGGAAGAAATATAAAAAACAGGGTTTCGACAAGCCTTCCTCCTTTCACGCAGACTGTGTGCAATGGCTAAACATGTACCAAGTTGTCTGTTTCGGTTGCTTGATGACAACGGTGATGCTGGGAAGAATAACCTTAAAGGCATGTATAAATGTATATTAAAAACATACCAATACGTTATTACACAGGACGAAATATTAGATTTGCACATGTGCAAATGTATGTGCAAATTTGATGTGAAGACCAATATCGCACACCTTTGATCAAATTTGCATGCATGCAAATTTATAAATTGGGTTCAACTTTGCACCCGGTGCTGGATAGCAGATGCTGTCAAGCCACATAGTGCAAATTTGATGTAAATTTAGTGTGTTTTTATAAATTCACACATATTGCAAATTAAATTTGTAGTTGTTGAGAAGGTAGAAATCGCTAATTAAATCACACATGGTGCCAATATGAGAACATTTTAGATATTTGCTATGATTGTGAATTCATTGTCAAATTATTGCAAATTTAATAGTCTTGCATGTGCACTTTCGCATTTTGCAAATTTGGTGTCGATGACATTGTGAATTCATTGTCAAATTATTGCAAATTTAATAGTCTTGCATGTGCACTTTCGCATTTTGCAAATTTGGTGTCGATGACAGTACATACAGTGTGTATAAAAAAGGCTAGTCTTTGAAATTCAAATTAGTCATAATTACATTCAAATTAGTCATAATTATAAATTCAATACAATATGACTAATTTGAATTTCAAAGACTGGCCTTTTTTATACACCCTGTATAACATATAATCTTAGAATATTGGTTGCGTGTACATTTAAATGTTAACAGCACACATATAATTGACCACCAAGAAAGTATAGGTATACAAAAAAATGTACAAATCAAGGCAAGTGAACTTTTAAATCATTAAATATTAATTATTGCAAAAAAGGTAGATTATAACAGTTTATTATTTTACATGAAAGGCACTTAAACTAAAGATTAGTAACATAATTATAATTGCAATAACAAGTATCTCGTGCAATAACTATCTAAAGGAAAAACGTCCATAAAAGCCTGCAGTTATGCCAGTTTTAGAATGCGTCATTTTTATTTACTGAAACAATTAATGATTAAATATATGATTCGACTTTAGTGCAATTAAGGCAGTCAATTCAGTAAGCTGTCCAGTAATCAGCACATGAAAAGCACGTTCTGAAACTGGGCTGGAAGCAAATGATAAATGTTTTGAGACGCGCTGAAAAGCATTGTGCCATTAGTTGTTTTATGTTTATTAAATCAGGCCTCTTAATTCGATCATGCGATACGTAACATTTGCTGTTCTACCTGCACACAGTTAGGACTACTTGCGTTAAGTACCTACATATTCTGAACTCGTTTTTCGTCACGAAAAACAAAAGAGATGAGTGTTTAGAGTTTACCATTCGTTCTTTAGAAATATGATTTCTATAGTTTGTCATAATTACTAACCAGTCACAGATAATGCCTGTTCATATATACATGTACAGGGTGTCACGAAAGAGTATACCTTTTGAAATGTTCCTGTTGTAACAATTTGAATGCATGAGCATTATTGGTAAACCCCATCCTCGTTTCCAGAGTTTCTCGTACTGCCCTGGTGTACCTTACAAATCAGTCGCAACGCTAGCTCGAACACAAATGGCTCAACTGACCACGGGCAAAAGAGTTTTAAAGATGAAAATAATACTAAAACTCAACTCAAATCACATTTACATATGCATAAAACTCGATTCAATTGTCCACCCGATCATTTAGCTTAGTAATAAGGCATTCAAATTCCTAGAAAGGCTTGATTTCAAAAGGTATACTTTTTGGAACACCCTGTACTGCATACGTATGTCATGCATGAATATAGGTATATATACTGACCACAGGAACTCATGAAACCACACTATTTGAGCAGTTTGAACTTGAAACAACCTATGATATTGTTCAGTAGGCATTTCAATCACCTTCGTCAGAGGAGTAGGCAGGGTGGGAGATGGTTGGCCCTCCCCACCCACTGGTAAAATTTGGCACCCATGAGGAAATTTACTCTATAATAATAAGTGAAGCCTGGCCCCACCTAGGTTTGTGCTGCCCCCGATCAAAAATCCTGGTACGCCTCCAACTTTCGTTCCAAACACAATATTTTTTATTTGTTTTATAATACGCCCCTATTAAACTAATACAGATGAGCAAGTTTTCCTTGAGAAGTTTCTTGAGAGGTTTATACTTGCATGTTCATACACGTGTGCATGTGCGACTAACAATTCAAGTATTGTCACCCCAAGCCATATTTATGAGTAAGCAAATAATAAATTTCATGATAATTTTTTTAAAAGCTACATATACAAACAAAATATAAACAGGTCAAAATGTCTTTCTTCAACGCTCATATGTGGCTAACGTAAGTATGCGGCGATAGTGAACAATTTGTGGTGTACCTGACGTGAGCAATTAATGTAATTAGCAAGGGAAACTTGCTCGTACTAAGCAATGCCTTAATTAATTGCGTGCCAAAAATCTAACAGTGCAATATGAAAAAGATAATTAAAAGGTTACGTAGGCAACAGTTACTCGACAGTTTTTACCATCCAGGCAGGTACATTTTCTGGTGCTTGCTGCACGATGGTCTCTCCATGTTTTCTTTTCTTCATCATTGCCCTTGCTCGGTCGCTCATTTTTCGGTTATGTTTTCGATCCTATGCGGTCGGACCTTGAGGACTTTTTTCTGTGGTTGTTCCTCGTCAGAATCAGAGGAGTTTTCTTCTTCCTCACTCTCTTCTGGGGACATGCAGGTCATTTGCATTCCTTGTCGGTATTCAGCTTTTTCGGCTTCTGGCCAGGTAGTCGACTTTTTCAGCATGTCCGTTCGGCATCAAAGTTTCTGTACATAATGAAGAACATTTTGTTTTAAAACTTATTTAGCAATTATTCTGCTTTTCCGTCAACAAAATAGATAATCTATAAAGTTAGAAAAATAAATAGCTGTTTCGAAACAGTAATTCAGGCCGTAGATAAATAGCGGGGTAGGCATAACTCTTCCGGCCTGGCTGATGCATGCATTGCTAATATGTCATACATCTAGCTAGCCTAAAGTGGCCCCTACATATGATATATACGGTAGTATAGCTCTGAAAAAATTAAACTTTAGGCAAATCATTAATTTTTATGGCGTTTTTAAATTTAGGTTGCGATGTTGACCAGCTAGAACAATTCCCCCCATTTATTTTTTGTTTGTTATGTAGCCTGCTCGTGGACGTTGTTATTCTTACGCCAATTGCAAGCGACGATAAATACGTCAACAATCAGAATTTACCTTCCAAATTCTGGAAAGTGACGTCAGTTGATTTAGTAGCAGAATAAATATAAATACATATTCTAAAAGCAGTTGTTGATTCGTTGGTTGAATTTTGGTCAAAATTGCACATAAATTGAATTTGAAGATATTGATACTTGTTCAGGTAATAAAATGTACCACTAATGATCAGATTTGGATATTGAAGATGTTCGGTTATATTTAAAACGCAGACAGGATCATCAGCAACTTTGAAAAGTTCGGTTTTGTTACGTCAAATTTGACCAATCAAACGCGCAGAATTTGCATTTATATTTGCATTTTATATGCACCGATTGTTTGCAGAACATGCGAGAAGATGATCACAATATTATTCTATGTCAACATCGTGAAGTTCAACGATATAGTTTCCAAAATATATCCACGCAAGTAAACAAATTTCAACCCAAACAATATATTCCATTTGCAAGGGCCCCTGCAGTAGCTAATCCCTCAGTTTTGTTATTGACTGCTTCAATTAGGCACATGGGTGAAAATATGCGATTCTGACTAACATATTTTATGGGACTCGTACTTGCTTATTTTTCTCCAATTGCATGGCATGATAAACATGTCGTCATTCAATAGCTAAAAGCCTGATCTTTCCGAATATGAAAAAAAATGTTTATACGCTGAGTAATTCACATACAACAGCGCGCTGAAGTTCGATTGTTTTTTATGATACACCTGTATAGAAATGATGCCAAGATTTGATATTGATAAGAGAATATTTGGGGATGAGGCCTAGGGGCGATTTCGGAACGTCTCTAAGATTGGAAATTCTTACTTCAGTCATATGAAATCGACGGCGTTCACTCTGCTGCAGCACAGCTGTTCTCTGACCACTAGCAACGTGTCGTTTCTTTCTGCGCAAAGTCAAATAATGTGCCTTCATTGCTCCTGTGAAACAAAAGAAAAATAAACACCTTATACTTAAGGATATATTCTGTAGAACTTTGTGATTCTAAAATCGTAATCTTCCGCGACTATCTCGCCAGGAAATAGTCGCGGAAGTTAATTAAAACCCTTTCAAACGAGGCCAACATGTTGGTCCACTTTAATCGTCATCAACTCATCATGCGACTTTGAATTCTTATCATTGGCTGTCGGCAAAATTATCTTTCTGTGTCAGGTGTATCGCAAAATACGCATGTAGTTCCCCAATTCATGAAAGATAATTATTATGTGCCAGTCCGCAAAACCTTGTGTTCACTGCATGCTCAATCTCGTTCCCCAAGCCTGCGATCCTTGGGAAGGAAACGAAGGCTCTGGGATAATCCATTGCCAGAAGCCAGGAATTCTGGTTCAGATTGAACTGCACATTCCATATCAACGGCCAATCAGATTCCTCCCTGAAATGGAGTATCCCATAGCCTTCGTTTCCTTTTCAAGGATCGCAGGCTCGGTGAACGAGATTGCTGCATGTTTTGCCGAGGAGACAACCGGTCCACAATGAAACATTTATTGACCGGTTAATAATAAAATGGGTGCAATACGCATGCATGTCAACCATGAAGTTGCAAAGTTCATTTTTCAAACATTTTATTAAACATTTATGTTTTGGTTTTGGTTTCAAATTAAGTTCATTCCAATAACCGGTGAATTATTCGTACTTTGACACTTATTGCTGCGGAGCGAGCGGGCCTGAAGCGAGTGGGCCTGAAGCGAGCGAGCCTGAAGCGAGCGAGCGTAGCAGCAGTCTGAAGGCGGATTTCCAGTCCTCGCACAAAGCTCCTTGCAGCTCGGTGCGAGTGCATGCATCAGCACTTTCATCCAATCACATTGCTTAGGAGTTAATTTTAATTAGATGCATGCACTCGCAGCAAGCTGCGAGGAGCTTTGTGCGAGGACTGGAAATACGCCTTATTGTGTACAGAGAGGGAGGTTTTGAACTAAATTTGATTTAATTAGCGCATGGAATTGTGGTCGTGCGTGCTTGCTATGCGCAGAACACAAATTTTAAACTCGCTCAGTCTTCAAATTTTTACTCATCAAATTACTGAAGCTTTTTCAAGTCTAAAGCCCGGCACACACTGGAGCTATCAGCTGAGCTGAGCGTCACTCATGATGGTTGGCGTAAGCAAGTTTCCCCAGTGTGCGGTGGCGTTTTGAGCGATTTCAGCCACGCATGCCATCGGCATCGAATATTCAACATTAATAATTAATCTGCAGGTCTTCCAAAACTGACTTAATATGATTTAATCTTTGATCATGATGAAAATAGTTTTATTATCCCACACTGTTCTACTAACTTTTGTTCTCATATTATTACACCATCATCATGCAACCAAGTATTTTATTCACACTGAAAAGCTACGCCTTCTCAACACCACTGCCTCCGCAACCATCGGCATTGGACGTGACCGTTTTTATAAACTGAAAGGTTACTTTCAATCAAAGATAAGTCGTTACCCCAATTGATCGTCAACTTTTCAACTTAGTCGCATATGTGTCAGCGGAGACATTAACCCGAATCCAGGACCAACCAACTTCAGAGTACAAACTCGCAATGAAAAGAAAAACAACGTGAAAATTGCTCACTTAAACGTCCGTTCACTCAAGAATAGGGAACACTTTATGCTGCTTAAAGAGACCGTTTTGAAGAATAAATTTGACGTTTTCACTATATCCGAAACTTGGTTAAACAACTCTGTGACCAACTTGGAGCTTGAAATCCCTGGATACGAAATATTTCGTGCTGATAGAAACAACAAAGACGGCGGTGGAGTTTGTGTTTATGTTTTGAACACTTATAAAACCGAGTTGCTCCGAGATATTTCAAGTATCTCAGGCAGTGGATTGCATCAACTTTGGATAAAGGTTCAAGTCAGAAATTTAAAGTCTATCGTAATTTGCACTATATATAAACCCCCTGATGTTCATGCAAACTGTTTTGATACTGACCTGACTCCGAATTTCATTACAGCCTCCCTATTGGGTAAACCTATCTACATCCTTGGTGACGCAAATTGTAACATGCTTAAACCGGACAGCCAGAATTCGTCTGTATTTATTAACTTCTGCAGTTGTTTTAACCTGACTCAGATAATTAAATCTCCAACCCGTGTAACTCCAAACTCAGAGTCGTTAATAGATGTTATTCTAGCAACAAACCCCAACCAAGTTCTTGAAACTAAGGTGTTGTTGCATTGCTCCATAAGCGACCATGATCTAGTTTACGCAGTCCTAAGATTGAAGAAAGAGTGCCCTAAGCCAGTACATATCACAACAAGGAGCTTCAAAAGCTACAACGCGAGTGAATTTTGCGCTGATATATTACAAGCACCATGGTCTATCACAGACGTTTTCGATGATGCCGAAGATAAATTGTATGCTTTCAACTCTTTGTTTAATGATATTCTAGATAAACATGCCCCAGTGAAAACTATAAAACTTAAAGGAAAACCGAATTGTTGCATAACAGAAGAAATCAGAGAACTCATGAAAACCAGGGATGAGTGGAAGAAAACGGCAAGGAAAACAAACGACCCTTTTGCATGGTCGGCCTTTAAAAATTTCAGGCGAGAAGTAAAGCGACGTATAAGATTTTCGGAGAGAGAATATGTAAGAGAACAGATTAAAAGTAATAGAAACAACACCAACTCCATATGGAAATCTATACGATCGTGTATACCAAAAAAATCAGCCACTCATAAAGTCTATAGTAAGGATCATAAAACTGTTGCTGATGAATTTAATGAATTCTTTGCCAGTATTGGTCAAAATACGGTTAAAAAAATTGAAAAAATGGCCGCTGATGAAAATTATGACCTAAATGAAAACCCTTTTAAACCAAGACATTATTTACCATCTGAACAATTTTCCTTTACCGCTGTTGAACGTGAAGAAGTTGAATCTATTGTTATGTCTATGGCACCAAACAAAGCTCCTGCGAACGATAAAGTTCCGATACATGTAATCAAAACTTGCTTGACTGTAATTTCACCTACCATCACTTCAATTATCAATGCTTCACTATTAACCTCTAGTTTTCCGAGCGTATGGAAAAACGCTGAAGTTGTTCCTATCCACAAGGGTGGTGATCATGAGATCGCAAATAATAATAGACCTATATCGTTATTGCCAGTGCTATCAAAGATCTGCGAACGAGCAGCTTATAATCAGTTTTCGACCTACCTTCTCTTGAATGATCGTTTATCGTCTAAACAAAGTGGAAACAAGCATCTACACTCAACAGAAACCTCGGTAATTCAGACTACAGACATGATCCTGAATGCCATTGACAAGAAACAGCTAACTGCGATTGTATTACTCGACATGAGCAAAGCATTCGATAGCATAGATACCACGACTTTGATTACTAAGTTAGAAGATGTTGGCGCGTCTTGTCAGGCGATTCAATGGTTCCAAAGCTACCTAACATCCAGGTATCAAGTAGTAAGAATACAAACAACCTTATCCGAGCCTTTAGAGGTAAAGAGTGGAGTACCTCAGGGAAGTATACTTGGGCCACTTCTGTTTAGTATTTATGTGAACGATTTGCCATCAGATCCACAACAATGCTCTCTCTATTCCTATGTCGATGACACAAAACTCCTAATGTCGTTTTCTCTGCAACACCAACAAAGAGCTGTCTCAGAAATAAATCAAGATCTCTTGAGAATACGTAATTGGTGTTTTGATAACAAGTTACTGTTAAACCCAGGAAAAACTAAGGCCATGATATGCGGTAGCAGACAGATGAGAGCAAAACTTCCTAATTTTCGCCTCTCACTTCTCGGTAAAGAAATCATTGTAACAAGCGCCAAAGATCTCGGCGTAATCTTGGACTCTGGTATGACGTTCGACAGCCATGTACAAGCCACTATCTCCTCATGTATGTCTCGTTTAGGTCAAATAAACCGTGTGAAACATTGCTTTGACAAACACACATTAACAATTATTATTAACTCTCTAGTTTTTTCAAAATTATATTATTGCTCTACAGTCTGGAGCAACACTTCTCAAACAAATTTAAATAAGGTACAGGTAGTGCAGAACTTTGCATGTCGAATAGTTAGCGGAGTTGGCAAATACGATCATGTCACACCAATCCTGCAAGAACTAAAGTGGCTTCCTGTTCGACAGTATTTATATTTTCGTGATGCAGTCATGGCATTTAAATGCATGACAGGAAACGCACCTGCATACCTAACTGAACAGTTTGTGAGACGAGGTGACATTTCATCTCGCGTTACTAGGAACTCGAGCATGATTGAAACTCCTTTACACAGAACAGCAACCGGGCAACGATCTTTCAAATTCAGAATGGCCACAATTTGGAATTCCTTAAAACCAGAACTTAGGGCCTGCGAAACAACGAAAGACTCTAAACATATTTTAAAACAGAGACTTGTAGAAACATTTAAATTTAGGACCAATCTTAAGACATTTTGATGTAAATAGCATATATATTTGTGTAGTACTACCAAGTGTGTGTGTGTGTGTGTTGTGTGACTGTGTGTTGTTATGTGTGTCTCTCTATTATTACAGTGTATAAAAATTTAGATCAATTATGTAAAATTTCGCTGAAAAGCCTTTTAAGGGATGTGAAATTAAAATACAATAACAATAACAATGTTGAATACACCAGGATGCACTGTGCTTAATGCGTGTTATTTTCTTGTGCACAATAATATTCTCTGAGTACAAGGTACCAGTCAACTGAGAAATGTTACAAAGTCTCTGTTTTGTCTTGAAAGCTGTCATTTACTTCAGGGTTTATTTTAAGAAAAATTTAGAACTGCACATATAGGGATGTTGCGAAGGCAACGGGTGTTTGACTGGGGCGGGAGGGGGGGGGGGGTCGAAGGATCTTTTACTTGCATATAGGTGACAGAATAGTGGTGTGGTTGAGTGGGAGAATTGGAGAAAGGCCAGACAAACTCGATTTTGGGTGCGGGAGCTAGGGGATGTTCCCCAAAACAATTTGAATCTACAGTCTCTTAAGTTGTGGCAAAGATTTGTTTTACCCAACTACTCGCAAAAACTGTTTCAAAACATGTAACTGAAAATCATGGATATTCAATATATAACAACCTTAAATTTGCATTTGAGGCAGCAAATAATATTAGGTTCTCCCACTCTAATCTCTTTTAGGGAGCTTCGCTCGCCCCAATTTTACCTTCTTTTCCATTACCCCAGCACGTAAGTGATTTTTGAGGAAAATAGGAGGGTCTGGAGTCCTCCCCCAGAAAACGTTTATATTTTTGATACTCCGATTAATGACAGCATTTCTGGAATTTTCCGGAGCATCCACAAGGGTAACGAGTAAATGAGAAGACTGTTTTAATTAAGGCTATTTTTGTTAGATTGGTGAATGCACATTTGTGTTTTAAGAACTGCACAAATGGGTTTAGAACTACACATTTTGTGTAGAACTGTACGTTAAAATAAACCCTGATTTACTCTTTAACCTCTACTCGTACGCGACTGGTGCCAGGAGCAGTGCCATCTTTAAATTTGCCAGCGAAGAGTACTCCTACTTCTGCAACAACAACACGATTCGAACTTGTTCGACATCAACTGGATCAACCTGTTGTATATCATAATTTGGAGAGCTTCCAGAAACGAATTCTGGGTTTGAAGATGAAGGGATTGCTCAAAACCCAAAATGAGGGCAGTGCCATTTTTTAATTCTAAAATCCAACATTTTACTTGCCCAAGCTAAGTTGCTCTGTTGCCTCTAGTCTTGATTTTTTTGTTGCTGTGTATAACTGGTTTCTACCTGACGATCATGTGATTTACATGAATTGAAGCGATCGGTAAAGCACATCAGCATCTCAATCATTATTTTAAACCTAGACAGTTACGAGATTTGTGAAGACCTCAACAAGAATGAACTCACATATTCAAAATGTGAAGACTCCAGTCCTAGCTGTAGTTCCAGGAGTATAATTAGGCATACCATTCCCATAAAGCTATGAAGAAAATGGTCCTCCCTTTCAAGCCTGTATCATTTTTGAGATCACTAGAATGTGAATTGCTTTGTGGTAAGATTTCCTGCTCCAATTGTATCTAGCAAGAAAAGTCTGTCAGCAAGCAGAAAGGGAAACGCGATGGGTGAGTGGTACGACACTAGCCCTTTGACAGTCGAGAGAAGCTCATACTGAACTTCCAGTCATTGAGTGCGAGTGAGTTTTTAGAATATGGGTGTAAACTTTCTGACTGGTTAAAAATGCCTTTTTTATTGCCCTAGAAATTGAATTTATCACTATTGAATATATTATTTAGCTTGGGGTTTGATCAAATGCAATAGTATTTTAAAATCACCTTGAATTATAGTTAATATGTTAATACAGTAATTTCATTCGTTGGTAAATGACATTATTCCAGTTCACTACTAGCTTTCTTCAAGTCTTTCCGTAATTAAAGCTTTCTTTCGCTTAACACCTTCACTTAATTTATATTTGTTTAGAATATCTTTGGCAAATGAGAAACATCTAGCAGAAACATACAATTTACAATATTTTCTAAACACAGGGACTGACATTCTTTAGTGATTTCCACATCACAATTTGCAATAATATAGCCCCACAAGCTTTTCACAAGGGAAAAAGCCAAAACTTTATTCACTATTTTGTCTACTGGTAGACGAGTGACCTTGTCTTTATTTGTTTGCTTCCTAAAAACGGACTCATTGACTTTCATATATAATACTAACAAGCCATGAATGAGGTTACCAAAAGCTACCTCTTGATAAAGATAATATATACTCATTGTCCTCTGTCACGGTTCGCATTGAACACATTAGTGCTTGAATTTCTTTGTTTCTTTGGGACTGCCACCGGGAACAATTCTTGCTTTTTGGGTACAAAGACCTTATAACATAGCCTGCCAAATAGGCCAATGGCCCATGCTCTTGTGTCGATAAAGAAACCTCCTCCTAAAATAAGTCAGCAAAAAGACAATAAGTGAGATGCTACATTGATATGGACATGGTTAGTGCTCCAGTTAGTAGTTGTATTTTTAACCCACTTTCAGGCAGTACCAAGAGTAAAATGCTATTGCCAGCTGATGGGTAAAGTGGCGACACAAATGGTTGATGAGTATAAACATGCATGTCTATATACAAAGGGCCATTCCATTTAAAATCCACAGCCCCCCTATGGATGAAGTCAGTAAAATTTTAACCCTTTTAAGAAAAAAGTTCAAAGTGCCAACACAAAACACGCAACGGAAATTTCCCATCACATCGGAAACGCCTTTGGAGTCACTTTTCAGAAAAATCACCAATAGGGGGTTGGTGGACGTTAAATAGAATGGCCGAAAGCCTCTCGACGTTTTGAGCAAAGGCCCTTCGAGAAGCTTTGTACTCTTTCATGGGTGTGTGACTGTGTATACTCATCAACCAAGGCTTTGTGATAAATATAAAACTGGCTATGTCAGAAAACAATTACCTCAGAGTCAGATGGTCCCTTGTCTTGCTCAATGCGTATCAACAAACGCTCTGGGAGATGAATGAGCATTAAAAAAAAACATCTTCTTGTCCGGATAAGGATGGAAATACTCATGCCAATGAGCGTTTGTGTTGCCATAAAACTCCTTCAGAAACTTGTCTTTGCTCTTCTTTCTTTTGAGTTTCAGAAGGAGGTCGTTCAACAATTTCACAAAGGACTCACTTGGTTCCAGCTTAAAAACTTCTGCAGCTTGCTCTGGGTTGTAAAGCTTCTTGTCTGTTAAATGGCGACAATATCTCGGATGATATCCCTGGTTTTATCCATCGTAATTACGACGTCTCTGGTAGAAGACGAAGTTGAACTTTCCCCTAATTCGGCCATGTGTTTGCTTGGCTGATGTTTGGTTCGACCACCCTTCGACCTGCAAATTTTCTCGCAAAACGCGCAAGGAAATTGCTTGTTTTCTTCGACCTAGAGATGAAGATTTAAGTTTGATTATAAGTTCGGTTACTGAAAAAGCATGGTTTACTTTGTTTTTGATTTTTTAACTCACCTCTTCATGAGAATTTTCATATCGAGCATAGCAAGAGTTTGCTCAAAATCGTCTTCAAAAACCGAACGAAAAGCCCCATCATCTTCACAAAACAGCAAAGAACCCTCCTCGTCCATATTCATGTGCTCAATAACGCTTAACTCCATAGACCTCGTATGTAACGAGTAAATAACAATTTTTGACAAAAATCCCTCTATTTTCTATAAGTTTCTACTATGAATTGCAGCTTGAATGCACTATAACCTGTCACGCGACGTACTTTGTAACAGATATCCGATTTGATCACGTGTTTTTTTTAAGTTTGCCGGCCTTCCAAACCCGGTCAGTATATATTAACTATGGCTGAGCGCGCATTATAAGTTTTAGTCTCTTGTTACAATATATATATATATGTTTTTAGAATATATGGAACTTTTCGTGATATTTTTTCTCCATAAATCGAAATGTTAATGACTTGGTTATTTTAGATCAAAGACGGTTGAAATTTCCGTGTTTTCCAAACTGGCCAAAGTACGTCATGCGAATCGCCAATTTAAATATGATCCTACTTTCGTTATAAATGTATACATATGCATAATTTGTTAGAGCTAGGATGTAGTCATTCGACGACGATTTCAGATGTTTGGGATTCTTTGTGTCTTAGCGAAATTTGATCTTAAACATGTACAATATTAGCGTAATTGAGTGCTTGGATTCGTATTAAGTGGAGCGTGACGCTGTTAATATCTTTAGCTTATTTCTTACATTTTATTTCAAAACGATTCTGTGTTTACTGCAGTCGTCACTGAGAACACTCGATTCACTTCTTAAATATCGGTTGTGAATTTTTAACTCAAATTTACACTATGAAAAACATATTCATGCAGATATGCAAGTACTAACCAAATTATCAGTAAAAATGAAAACGTTGTAGTCGAATGGAAACTAAGCTGAAAAAGGTTAGAATGCAGGATGGTAAGCGTCATCGTTTCTATAGAATGAGACGAATTATGTCGTGGTCTAGTACGTAAAGAAATACCACTTCCAAGATTGTTTTCAAGATAAAATAATAATTGATTGGTAACCTACGCTGTTGTTAACCCGGAAGAGACTTTATCAACAAAGTTGTGAATAAACGCACGTAGCGAGACTCGTACATTATAGTATAAAACACGTTATACTATATGGTCCAATAATTATATTTAACAGAATTTGAGAGGAAAATAAAGAAGATACTAAAAAATGCAACGAATACAGCCATGACTGTGGAGAAATTAAACATAAAGGCAATAATTATGCATGAAAACAAGAATTCCTTTTCAAACATGATAAAAATTGGTTAAAAACATAAGAATAATTGTAAATGTGGACAATGACAGATTTCATATTATAATAGGAAAATCACATCAAATGGATATTAAAAATGACTGAACATATATTCAGCAAAAACATGCACATTTTGCAATAATTTTAGCTTTTCCAAGTTGCAAGATATGACTAAAATGATACTAAATCTCTGAGAGCAATAACTGCTAAAAAATTTGGGCAAAATTTATTGTTTTTAGCAAAGTGAGAAATAGGAATGTGAATAAAAGGGGAAAAAAGAGGAAAATGTCATTGTTCCAAAACATGTCTGCAGGCAGGCACTGTCATTGAAAATTATATATCAAGAACATGCAACTTTCGATATATCGAAAACTCTAAACTATCTAATCCCTTGCAAAAATCAACACTATTTTAACTCTATTTTCTCCCTATTTTACTTTCTATTTTATTCCTATAAAAAGCTATTTTATTTTTAACCCTATCAAGGCTCTCCAAGAATCATCACCCTCTATACTGAGCTAACGTCACTTGAAAAAAGGACTTCGCAAGACAGTCACGGATTACTTAATAAGAGCCGGGAAGGCAATGACAGCGCTTAAGAACGCCAAAGAAACGTTAAGCGACGGACAAATAATTGCTATGCTCTTAAAGGGGCTGCCTGATTCATATAAACCATCCTCGATACATGTGATCCAAAGTGCAAGTGAGATAACGTTCGTGACGTTTAAGAGCATGTATGTTGAGGAGCTTCGAAGAAACGGAAAAGCTCAACACTAAACCGAAAGTTGATCAGGTAATGAAAGCTGAGTTTCCTTCGCAGACAATGACATGTTATGGCAGCGGGAGAAGAAGGCATTTAGTCAGGGAGTGCCCTGGTAAGAGCGAGAAAAAGTGGTGTAACTACCACAAAAGTACAACACACTCGGATAGCACTTGTAGAAGTCAGCAAAAGAGCAAAGACCAAGCCAAACAGGTTTCGGGGAAAAAACGCCTCTAAAGATGAACATTCACTTGCATTCAAAGTTAACGACGAAGCGACGGGGAAAGTCAATCGAATGAGAATGTTGGTTGACACAGGTGCCACTTCTCACATTGTTACTACAGATATTTTAAAGCAAATAGACATGACATTTAAACCATAAAAACATTTCATAGAACTGGCTGATGGTACGCGAGCCAGTAATATTGAATTGAAACGAGGGGATGCTGAAGTGTTTTTGAAAGATACAATTGGAAAATGTGCGAAAACGCTGCTGAAAACACCTTATATATACCATCCTATCGTTAAGATATTTTTCAGTGAAGGAACGCACATCAAGAGCCGAGCTTCGAATTGCCCAAGATTCTGGTGAGCTAACCCTTGAAAATGGTACCATTGTTGAAATTGAAGAACATGGACGGTTGTACTATTTGACTTCCATAGGCAGTCATGAGAAAGATAGCGTAAGTGAAGTAGAAATCCTAGGTCACTGCAATTTTGAAGATATTACAAAACTACAGGGGGTAGTTATGGGCAAAAATTCTCAGGTAAAATTGAATCATCTAAGTTAGGTTGTAACACATTCCTGATGCAAGATCTCAAAAACGATTGGAGAAAGTGCATGTGGATTTGGCAGGTCCAGTTTCCACTGTATCAAGAGAGGGATTTAAGTACTGCATATCTTTTACTGACGATTTCTCAGGAGCAGTATTCGTTTACTTTCCACGATGGTCGGTTGCTATATAGTTTGCTCCCGGAGTCAAATTGCAATTGTTGTTAGTTTCCGGTCTCCTAGCTGTGATTTTATGCGCGGTTAAAATACCGCGTCTTTAGCGCTCTCGTTTCCGTTTACTTTAAAACATCTTTAAAACAATACTTGCCCAATTAGTACTTACTGGAACCGTTTTAAGATATTGCAGCGCAGGATTCGTTTGCGTTAGATGTAACGAAGTTACATACCCTGTTTCCTACAACATCGGAGGTCAGTGCCCTTTCGAATATAGTAGATCCAAAACTGGAACCGAACACCTGTATCGTTCCGGATTCATTCCGTCTGTCGTACGAGTTGAAGAACGAGAACACCAAATCCTGGTTTATGAATAACCTCGGTAAACTCTTGTGTGAACGACTCATGATAAGAGTTGGTGGGCGAGATAGTATACGACAATAATGGTGAAAGTCTCATCGAAGTCTGCAAAGATCTCTGGAAGATGGGCACGAAAAGAGCAAACATGGTAGAATATGGAATTATGAACGAGAACACAAGAAAGCTATTGTCGAAGGACGACAGCGCCGATCAAACTGCAAAAACGGAAGGTAACTACGACCTGGTGATGGCGAAGGTATACAGAGAGAAAAAAGTGAAACTCGGAAAAATTCTCAATGATCACGGTCCTTACGCACCGTACAACATGAAGAGCGGATTCGAGTACACGGTAACCCTTCCAAAAGCCGACAAGATTATGGTTGCACAAGTAAACGAGAAGGTGGAAGGATATACACTGAAAAACATACATCTGGAATACGAAACCATCGAGAACGAAAAACTGGCCAAACGAGTGAACGAAGGATACGACACCGGTAGGTCTCTATCCTACGAACACACAACACTGCTGAAAACAACCGTGTAGGCGAAGGATGCCACAAGGTTCAACGAGAGCATAGACGTCTCGAGAGAAAGCATGAGAGCCATCGTTCTACTCTTCAGAAAAAGGACAATAACCGACAGCGAGGAATACATCTTCCCAAGCTTCGAAAGAGTAAAGGTTACGATAGAGGGAAAGACGAATGCCGTATACATTCAGGGCTTAACAACGGGAAATTTCTACGACAAATCAAAAAGACTTTTCGGAATAGCCAACAACACCGGCAACGATAACATAAGCGTCAGGAAATTCTACAAAGATAAATTCGCATTGGTGGTTGATCTGAGAGCTGTTGACGACAGCCATGTCGTTGGAAGTGGAAAAAAGCTTCTCGGCGATAATCCCGGAATTCTTCTGGAGATCGGAACCGATGGGATGACTGAAGACATTCTCTGTAACATTTTCGTGTTATGCGATGGACTTATAAACATCAGCGAAAAGACCCTTCAAGGTATTAGTTACTAAATAATAAAAGATGGAACCATTGGAAACGCCGTTCAACATGATCATTCTCGGAATGACCGGATGTGGAAAACCTATTACCTATTAAAAATGTTGGAGAACGATTATAAAAACCACTTTCACTATATATTCTTAATATGTCCTACATACGAATGGAATAAAACGTATCAGGACTGGAAATACAATAAAGATAAGGACTTTATAGCCATGCTCTGCAAACAGGATGATGTAACTCCGTGCTTAGAATACGTTTCACGGTTCGCAGAAGGAACGAACAGTCTAATCATCCTCGACGACTGTGCTAGTAGTCAATCCGTCAAAAACAGGACCAGCGAATTGGTAAAACATGGGTTTAGCGCTAGGCATATTGGAATCTCAACCATCGTTATCACTCAACAACTTACGTCCATTGCGAAACCCTATAGAGAAAATATATCCAAACTCGTAACCTTCTACAACCCGAGCGCAAATTATACGAACATCATATTGGACGATTACCTGGCAAACACGGAAAAAGAAGAGAAAAAAGAAATCATTAATACGCTAAAAAACAACGACTACGCCAGGCTGGAAATACTATTACGCCGACCTTATACCCACAAATATTATTCCGCATATTAAATAAAGGATTGGAAACCATATTCGAATCTGTAGAACCTGAGACACCTGTCGCAAGCGACCTAAGGGAAAATGTATTGAAACTGGTCGACGCAGGTGAAATCAACACCTCAAAATATATACTAGAAAATACATGCATGCAGAAACCCTCGCCTTGCTGACAAACAGACAAAACCATTGTATTTTCCGAACATGAAGTATCTGAAGTAGTTGTCATGGTAACACGATAATTTTTTAAGAATATTCTTACAAAATGAAAAATCGCCAAAAAAAATATCACTTTTAATTACAAAATTATTAATTTCCCAACATATATATGTTAGGTATGTTATTATACGTATTATAAGCCTCGATTTAAGGTAAAATTCAACCACAAACGCTTCGCAAAACGTTTTAAAGTCACGAGTGTTCTTTATAAAACTAAACTTTCTTTTAAAATGGCTTTATCGATAAACTTTGAGTTTGCAATAAAATGACTTCAAATTCTCGCCTGCAAATAACTCTGCTTTCTTTTTTATTTAAAAAATTCAATATTATAAAAAAGGGAATCAATATTACTAAAGATACACTGAAATAATATGCTGTCTTGTTTAGTTGTTTCATATATGCAAAGCCGTTGGGTTTTAAATTAAATCCACTATAAAATCAATATTTAAAACAAACTTACCTTCGTTAACGTCGGATCACTTCTTTTAGCCGATTCTTTCGCCCTTTCTTTCTTGAAATTTACAAAATCTTGCAAAAATGCGAACGAAAATGAAATATATTTGTGATATTTGCAAGAAATTTATCAATCATCAAATCAGATCAAATCAAGAAATGTTTGCTATTTCGCTGTCGTCATGCAGTCGTTATAATGCAAACTTTAAATTGGACCAATCAGTTTTCGCTATTCATGACAGTCCGCCACATATTTTGAGATCAGTGAGGATGACCACCCACCGAAACATCGTTGGTGAGCTACGCCCGCGATATTTGATGAACTTTAGACTTCGCTAATGCTTTCGTTTCCCCGGGTGTAAATAGCCGGGGGGAATTAGTACCCTCGCACGGCGCTTCGCGCCGTCGGCTCGGGGAAAAAAAGCATCCGAAAAGACGTTGGAAAATATATACAAAGACTACGAAAGACAACGTCTGGAAAACACAAACAGGCAACTAGCTGACGTCATCATTACCAAGTTTTCCGAACTCATGGAGGCGTTGGACGCTGTTAAGGATGCTGATGGAATGAAAAAAGAGCTGGAGGGAAACGATCTGCTTAAAAAAGACATAAAAAACCTCGTCAGTTACGTAACACCATACATCGCACTCATTGGAATACTAAGTGGAGGAATCACCGGCCGTCGGAAAAACGTAATCACTACACGGGCAATCTGTTCGGAAAGGGAGGGATAAAGGTTAACAGCTAATAGAAAGAATTTTTCTATAAAAAAAGCTGAATCAGCATTTTTGAAAAAATTTTTTTTCCCTATATAATAAAAAGGACAATGAATACACGCAGGAAAGTTCATTTGAACTTCGCATGCTCTGAAGAAATGACGGAGTTCATAACGGAAATGTGTGAAGACACATCCTTTAACAGCGCTGGTTTTACTTACCTGGACGAAGGAACCGGTTGGGATGCTGACACCAGGTTCTGACTCGTAGGAGAAGCGGGCGCTATAATTATGGGTGTGAACGCGATCCCTTTCGGTCCGCCGATAGGTGTCGTCGTTTTCCTCACCGTACCGGAGGATGTGACGCTTGGAGAGATAAATAACTTCACGCTGGACGGTCCGGAGTTCGGCATTAATTTGGGACGGCCCGACGATTTCGCAGAGTCGTGGGTGTTTTCCATACCGTCCTTACGTGCCCGTTACTATGCTATGGGAAATCTGTTTAGGATACGGTGGAAAGACCGATCGGTAATGCCTGCTGAGTACGAAAACAGCTTAGCCGTCAGCGGTATTGATGCTCTTTAAATTTTAATGTTCTTACAAACATTAAAATTGGTTTCTGCTGTCTTAGGCTTCTGTATTCTATTAATCCCGTCGTCGTAGAAGTCTCTTCCTCGGTGCCTTAGGCTTTTCCTCTAATATATTCGCCTCATGCAGCTTCCCTGGATGGAGGTTACACAGTTGGACACAGAGATGCTCTCGATTTTGATGATCGTATCAAGGCGAAACCTCTTGTCCTGGTATTTCGTGTGGCCTACAGGTTCGTCCCCTTTCGGTGGGTAGATCTCCGTTTCATCGTCGATCTTTACGTACAGGGTTGGAGTGCTGCCTTTCTGGGTAAAGACAATTCATAATGTTTTCACCCGGCTTACCAACGTGGTCGGCGGACTCCTTTTCCACCAGTTTCAGGGCTGACACAAACTCCTCCTTATCCCTCAGGACTAGGGAGATGGAGTAATTGACCTTACCGAACTTGTTGTTCTTGTTCACTCCATAGGACAGGCAGTCCTCAAGTTCTAATAGAAGTGGACCTTGGCCCTATGCCGTTAGTTTAATCTTTTTAGACCCGTTGCTGTTTCCGACGGCATCTTCGAAAGCAAACGAGTCTTTGGAGAATTCTGAAACCTGAGTAATGGACATCCTTTTTATTATATAGAAAATTTTTTTTTTTTTAAATATGCTGTTCCAGCTTTTTTCAAAACCAAAAGGTTTGAAAGTAGGAATGGCTATCGGTTCCGGGACTTATGTACGGACAGAAGAATAGGATCCTTTTTATTATATAGAAAAAAAAAAATTTTCTCAAAAAATGCTGACTCAGCCTTTCTCAACCGGAAGTGACGTCATAGGTCATGTGATCCAAATCTGCGCAGAAGGGGTGCGCAGTGGGCGACTTTGGGAAGACTTTGGGAAGACTTTGGGAAGGCTTTGGGGAGACTTCGGCAATACTTTGGGAAGACTTCGGGAGACTTCTCAAGGCGCGGGGTGGCGGGGGATTGCGCATGCGTGGAGGGGGTTTTGCGGATACGTGGTGGGGGTTTTGCGGATGCGTGGCAGAAGTGGTTGCGGGACCGGAAGTGACGTCATAGGTCACGTGGTGTTATAGGCCGGTGGTGACGTCATCAGATGCGCGTAAAAGGTGCGTAATAGAATTGTGGATCCACTATAATTCTTTAACACGAAGTACTTCCAAAGTGACCCAGAAACGCCGTTTTTGTACTACTTCTGTGCAGACTGCAAGAAAATTTAAATGGTGTTGAATATATTATCATTGATGAATACTCCATGCTTGGTCAAGTTACATTTGGCTGGGTAGATAAACGTTGCAAACAGGGAACAGGATGTTACAACAAGGTGCTTTGAGGAAAATCCTTGATGTTATTTGGTGACCCAGGTCAGTTACCACCTTTAGCAGACAAGCCTCTTTATCATGCTAAACCATCAAGTGATTTTGGTGAACAAGGGTATCAAACATACAGAATGTTTGATAAAGCTGTTAAGCTTACTGTCAATCAGCGAGTACAAGGTATGAATTCTGAACATGTCAGATTCAGAGATTTGTTGTTGCGACTCCGCAAAGTTGAGTTGATGACTGGAAATTACTTTTGACTCGTCAACCTTCAGCAATCACAAATTTGAGTTTTAAGATGCTACCAGACTTTTCTATAGCAATGAGCAAGTTGCAAATTACAACCATGACCAACTGAGTAAATTTGAGCAAGCCGCTGCTCAAATCAATGCTCGCCATTCATCGGCAATTGCAAAGAAAATTGCTTCAGAAGATATGCCAGGATTAGAACCTGTGGTGTTTTTAGCAAAAGGTGCTAAAGTGATGTTAACCATGAATTTATGGTCAAATGTTGGTCTTTGCAATGGAGCCACTAGGATAGTCATTGATTTTACTTTGAAAGCAACCGTCGGCCGCCAGACTTACTTGTTGGTGTTATAGTTCAGTTTGATAACTACAGAGGTCCTTCATTTGATGATACTCGGCCATCTTGTGTCCCAAGATGTCCATTCACTGTCTCCTCACAGTCAGGAAATGGTTTCCACGAGAGACAACAATTGCCTCTTAGACTTGCTTGCCCTTGTAGATTGCAAAATATTTATAACGTACTTTACACCATCTATTTTTTCCCTATTTATCCCTATTTTTTCCGTATTTTTTCAAAATTATGACTATTTTATTACTATTTATCAAATCTCATAAAATAGTATATGACTATTTACACTCTATTTAAAATATAGGTTATTTATATTTTTTAAAAAAATAGCTTTGAAATAGGTATTCAAATCCTATTTGAAAAGGCAATTGACGGAATCGCGCTATAAAATAGCTTTTAAATAGCTATTTAATTCCTATTGATGACAAACGAATCAGTTAAAATAGTTTTAAATAGCTATTTTTAAACTATTTTTGCTTCTCTTCACACAGCAAAAAATCATTTTCTTATTTTAAGAAAAAAAAACTTGTTTTAAAAAAATTTCCTTAAAATAAGAAAATATTTTCTTGGGAGAATAACAAGAAAATTTTCTTAATAAGAAAAATTTTCTTAAGAAAATTTTCTTATTAAGAAAATTTTCTTGAGAGAAAATTCTTAAATTGAGAAAATATTTTCTTATTTTAAGAAAATATTTTCTCAAATCAAGACATTTTTTTTCTTAATAAGAAAATTTTCTTATTATTCTCCCAAGAAAAAAGTTTTCTTGAAATAAGAAAATTTTCTTAAGATAAGAAAATAATTCCTTATTTTAAGAAAATAATTTCTCAAAACAAGAAATTTTTCTTAAAAAGAATTTTCTTATTAAGAAAATTTTCTTGTTATTCTCCCAAGAAAAAAAAATTCTTGAAATAAGAAAATTTTCTTAAAATAAGAAAATAATTTCTTATTTTAAGAAAATAATTTCTCAAAACAAGAAATTTTTCTTAAAAAGAATTTTCTTATTAAGAAAATTTTCTTGTTATTCTCCCAAGAAAAAAAGTTCTTGAAATAAGAAAATTTTCTTAAAATAAGAAAATAATTTCTTATTTTAAGAAAATAATTTCTCAAAACAAGAAATTTTTCTTAAAAAGAATTTTCTTATTAAGAAAATTTTTTTCTTATTCTCCCAAGAAAAAAAATTCTTGAAGTAAGAAAATTTTCTTGAAATAAGAAAATAATTTCTTATTTTAAGAAAATAATTTCTCAAAACAAGAAATTTTTCTTATAAAGAATTTTCTTATTAAGAAAATTTTCTTGTTATTCTCCCAAGAAAAAAAGTTCTTGAAATAAGAAACTTTTCTTAAAATAAGAAAATAATTTCTTATTTTAAGAAAATAATTTCTCAAATCAAGAAATTTTTCTTTAAAAGAATTTTCTTATTAAGAATGTGTTGTTTGGGTGTTTATATGTACAGGTACTCAGATGAATATTGTTTTTGATGTTACTCGGAGTGTATATGCAGTTAGCAGAGCATTGGACTAGTAACCCAAAGGTTTCGGGTTCGATTCCCACCATGGTCAGGCTAACTTTTTAGCCTGCCCGGTGTGGATACACACTCAGAGTAACATACAAAACATCAAATTATTGTCAATTTATACAAGTTCTTTTTTCAGCCACTGTTACACAACTAGGTGTAGTTCTGATTGCACAGCAATGTGTTGTAGCAAATTTAAGTTCTCCTGAAGACTTGAAGCAGTAATTTTTCAACTCTTTCCACATGACAAGCAAGATTATCTGACAAACCGTTTGTTCAAAGTCCATAGATTTCTTTATAATGCACATTAAACACTGTTCCAAACACATCATGCAAATGCCACTGGAGATCCATCATATATACATCCTTATACAGCTAGTAATCTGTAAAAGTTCACTTACATTATTTTTAGTTTTTAATGCTTTTAGAAAATAGACTTGCCTAGATTTAATCTTTATGCCCCAATTATTATTTACATCGGAGTTGCATTATAAAATGTATTCGGATTCAAACGACACAATGTCAATAACTTTATAAAACTGGTAAAAGCATATTATGTATTGGCCTATTAGGTTCATTTTACATTTAACACTCCCAAGTCTCATCAGACAATCGGACATGTCAAATCCATTGATATGACCACTTCAAAAAACTTTTTCAAAGCTAGGAATCATGTTTTTTTTACAATTTCTCCAGGGATACTTTGTTTTCTGCTCTCTAGACTCCCCCTCACATCTCTAGTGCTCCACCTCTAGAATATAGACCTTACTGGGGTATGGTGACATTTTGTAATGCTTCAGTCACCTGCTCACAGCTCACCCCCCCCCCCCCCCCC